GTGCTCTTCATTCCCCTATGCCACTTGCTAGTCGTCTTGCAGAATAGGCTCCCTTTGAGCTGTGAAGTATAAAGGAAATGGAAATTTCCACTGACAGGTTCCCTAGCTTTTGCATTTTTGCAGAGTATTGATAGTGCTGCACAACACCGACAAGTGACTGCTCTCTCATCTTACTGTAACAGACCTCTTTCCAATACAGCCAAGCAAGGTTCTTTTCTAGCCTCACCATCTCCATGTTTCTTTCATGTTTACCTCAGGAAAACATGAAAATGGTTGGCCTGTCTCTAATTAGGATCAAAACAAAGCTCTTTTCCCCACATGGCTAAAAAAATTATATTAAAAAAATTTAATATCTGTTAAATGCTGGTATATACTGATCCACATTTTCATTCCAACCAGGGATAGAGGACATTAAACAATATTCACAACACATTAGAAAGAAGTCCAATTTTAAGTACTAAAGGAAACAATCCTGTGTTGGACAATAGCAGTTGATGGCCTGGTACTTTCTAATATGAGGGATCATTTGAAAGCAAATGGTTTCAAACAGTTCCTAAAAATTTTGTGGACTTCTTCCTGAATTTAAGACTATCAAATTCTTTCAAGCACTGTAACAGCCTACTTCTCACATAGCTTCTAAAAGCAAATTTTGAGACTATAATGGGTATTTCCCTTAACAAAAAAAGTCATACTTTTTTTTTTTAAAGCATATATTAATGAATCCCTACATAGGCAGGAGTTACTTGCTCCTAAAGCATTCAGGAGTGTGAAAGTCTGTTGTTCAGACAGCAACTCCTGTGATAACTGTGTCATATACAGAGGCTGCAAAAATTATCAAAATAACCATTAAAAAAACCACAGGAAAGTACTAAATATTGAAAGAAGCTAATAATGTATAAATATAGATCTAAATTTATAAGAATAAAATGCCAAAATAAACAAGAAAAACCCCGTTCAACCACAAATTTACATTCATAAATTTCCTACTAGCATTGTCAAAGTAATCTCCCACAGGTGTTTTATCAGCAGCCTTCAATCTCCCACTCTGTACGTGCACCAGCAGACTACAGCTATCTGAATAATGAAGATACTCTAACACTCCTCTCAGAATAAAAATCCCATCAGACTAATGATTGTTAAAATCAGTAAGCAATACCAGGAAGAAGGATGGTCTCATCAGTTAATGGAAGGCAGAAGCTTCCAGTTCTCTTCTCATTTCTTTTAGAGATCTTTGGTATAATAATGGAAGAAGCATTTCATCTTCAGTACATAACTAAAAGAATGAGACTCGTGAGATCACAACAATTTACTTCTACCTCTGTTGATCTGGCAATATGAACTAAAACAAAAGCACTTTCAGTGTATTACCACATTTGCCCTTCAGGTTGAAATCTGACCATGTCATGTTGCTCCATGCTCTTTAGGTAGGGCGTTCAGAGTGTGACTATTGCCCTAAAACCCCAAGTATTTAACTTTTTCTAAAAAAAAAAAAAAAAAAAAAAACCACACACCACCACACAAAACCAAACCACAAACGAAAAAAATCCCACACCACAGCTGGCTGGATTTTTTAGCCCTCTTTTCTCTAAAGATCTCTTAGAGAATGCTATGCAGAGACAAGTAACACTGCACTCAAAGCGACAATCTGTGTCACTCAAATACCGTAAGAAGTCAGAATGACTGAAAGGACCTATCAGTTACACACTAATATCTACTGCATTATTTGGAGGGAAAAGCAAAGAGCTGCATTTAGGCTTCTGTACTTATGTGCGTTCAGCAAGTTGTCAAAGTGTTCTGGTAGGCAGTAAAAGTGTGCCACAGGGCTCAACAACAGAACAAAATGTACAGACACACAGAACCAAAAGGTATGTGAAGTCATTAAACCGACTCTTCCAGAGATAAACTTCAGCTCAGTCATGGACACCATGCATACCACACTGTGGTCTCTTGATAAAGTCATGGTCAAACTTACTTTGATCATAAGCTAGATCTAGCCTTCACTGAAACCAGTCACATCACACCAGCAAAACCAACATGTATTGCATGTGACACTGATGCACTTACACTTGTTATCATGCTCTTGTACATGCTGTAGGACATACAGAACTGTGTGGTATAAAAAGATGGTCTTCAATTGCTGTCAGGCTGTTGTGATGCTCATTAAACAACCAAACTGACAACAGAAACAGAGACTACCTTCTCTCTGCAGCTGTTGCTTTTCAGCTTGCCATGAAGATAAGTGGTGACAAAACTGGCAGAATGGAGACAAAAGAAGCAAAGGCAAGACAACCCAGTAACCAGTGGTTCCACTGGTTTTGTTCTGCAAGCTGCCTGGATTTCCCCCACCGACAGTTACCAGTCAGTTCTGTCCATCTAATCTATCTACCAAGTACTCTTAGGAAGAGTTCATAAATAGATCATGCATCCCCAGGGTACAAAGGATCATCTAATTCCACATTCCTTGCTCATTGTAAAGAAGTAATTTAGACTTATAAAGTTACTGCAAACATGCAAATTGCAACATTAATAAATTGTATTAAAAACAAATTTTTAAAAAATCACACAGAAGCCTAAAAACCTCTGGGACTCATCTCCAACAGTACTTACAAAATTACTGTTATAAAATAAAACAGAACATAGGCACATATGTATCTGTACTGTCCAAAGAAGTTGATATAAATATTGTCTTTGAAGTTGACAGATCTTTTGCTAAAGTGACTAACATGTTGATTTTGTGACCTGTGTTTATGCAACCCAATCTGAAAGTTTAACTCAAAGTTAAATGGAATAAAGCATGGAAATAAAGACTTGTACAAAAGGAATGCGCACTGCCAGCAGTTCTCTTCCTAAAACTCCTCGTATTTGAGAACACATTAAGCCTTGCTAGTCAATGTTTAATAGTTATGTGTGTAAGCAATTCAAAACACCTGATTTTCACACAAAGCATATGATTTTTTACACTACTACCCAATGATTTTATTAATCTGTGTAAGAAAATATATGTAGCCTGACTGTCCTAATATAAAAAAAACAGCTAACGAGAGGAGAAGGACAGACTACTGTAAATACAGCATCTGTCGATACAGGCTGCATTTTTATCCACTTAATCCACAAACAGTAATTGCTGGCATTAGCAGGAAGTTTTTCCTTCCAAAGAGAATCTACCAGAAGATAATTTTACTTCTATTTAATGTAGTTTAATCTCACTACATTTCAAAGCTCATTCTGCTGTTAGTACTCAAAATAAATCATAGAATCATAGAACATAAGTAAAATGTATACTTTACTCAGCATAAAGGACACTCACACACAATCTTAAATAACAGTAGAAAGTAAAGTTCAAAGATCAAACTTAAAAACAGATTTGCAGCTATTTTTAACAGAGTGAGGATTTGTATGAACTTACAGTAAGATTCCAGTTGATCTGCGGTATTCTTGTGTGAAGATTTAGACTGAACATAAGCAACAGAACTCCAGTAACCACCAATGCACTACAGCTCACAAACTCAAAGAAATAAAGGCCTTCACAAGGGGAGCATTCCATGATGGTCTCTATGCAGATGAATGCAATCAGTGCCAAAACCTAGGAAGAAAAACAAGTGGAAAAAATATAAATAGATTTCCACATTTTGAAAGTAGCCACAAGTATTCCTGAAATTTCCATTGGGAACATGATCAGTTTACACTCAGGAATGTGTGATTTTAGTTTATAACAGGGCACTGTCTAAAGAGCAAAAACAAAAGCAAATTAATGCAAGACTTTCTGGATATCTCCTGTTCAACAAAGTATATTTTAACAAAATTACAAGGAGTCTAACATCAAAATGATCTGGACACCCAGAAAGGCATGAAACCCCTTCAGGCCATTGGCTTAATATGCAAATGGCACCTCAAACATTTTATTGCATTTTTCACTCATGATATGCTATTCCAAAACCTGAAGATGGGATGCATTTGTCTACTGGGCCAACCTCAAGCTCAGTTACATAGTATTAATGTAGTGTGACTGTGAAAGACATTTCAATAAATCTATTATTTAAAATTCACTAGCAACTTAAAATCTAAATCAATTCAAAACAGAAGAGATTCAGGATCTCCTCCAGCCTCAAAAAATGTCTGCTTTTTAAATATTTTTTATAATCAATATGCTAATTTTCATATAAAAATATATTTTATCATTCCTTTGTAAGACAATACAATGAGCAGCTAATAGATGAAGGAAAAACTCCTGGTGCTGCAAACACATACCTCTAACTGGGATGATGGTTAGTCACACTAAATTCAGAAGATACCTTGGTAGAGTTAACACAAATGTAGACTTTTGCAAGACAAGAGAGTTTAATTTATTATTTAGGATAAAACAGTGAAACTTACTATATTTTTAAAAAATCTGCCCAATGGACCAAACTAAAATATATAAAATCCATGCATCAATATTAACTACCACTGATAGCTACCACAGAGCATACAACTCGCACATCCAAGTATGTTTCAAACTGATTCCTCTTTAAATATAACTGGTAAAAGAAAAACAGTAACACAGACTTGTTTTGTTTTGTTGTTTGGTTGTTGGTGGTTGGTTTTGGTTTTTTCCATGGCAAGCAAGGAAGGCCTGAAGAGTGTTTTGCTTTGGTTTTCAAGACAACAACCCCCCACACACACCCACTTAGATTTTTCAGAAAGAATTCACTTTTTTGCTCTGCCGCAAAATTATAATGAGACCATAGTAAGTCAGTTCAAGTTGAGGATGAAGAATTCAGGGAGACAGCCTCCTCAGAGCTAAATATACCATAATTTGAAGGTTTTGCACAAACAAAACATAAGTTTAAAAGATTGACAGAAGCCACAATACAAATCCCTTCCTGCTAAATCCTTCTTTATCAATTTCAATAATGTTTTGCAGTTACACTTTCTTCCAGCACTTTTTATGCTTCACCCATTAATTTCTCTTTGCCATCTATAAAAAAACTAGCAAAGAGAAGAAAAAGGATTTTGAAAGAAGTTACCATTGTCACTAACATCAGCAGTAATTTTAAGTAAAGGTCAATACCCTGCATGCTTCGTTTGCCACACACTTCAGAATACAGTAGCTTATTTAAGTTTAAAAATGGATTAAACCACAGCACAATAGTTTCAACAAAAAACTCACACTTGGGTAGAAAGTCTCTCACAGCTCACTTAACAAACTCTCTTTAAGAGAGATGCGCCATATTAATTTTTGCCAGCTAATAGAGCAGGCCAATTCACATAAAAAATTCTGAATGGATACCCAGTGACTAAACTTCACTTCAGATTTGATCTTTGACATTCAATAGCTTTGGAAAAAAGAAAGAATATGCAGTGAAATGCAATGTTCAGAAAACCAGAATCAAAGTCAAACTATGATTTCAGCAATGACACACACGCAAAAAAAAAGTACCATCCAGAACACAGCTTCATTTTACAGTATTAGCATGTAATAACGTCCACCTTTTCTGTGAACACAAGCCTCATAACTGAAGGTGACATTGAATACAATTTTAAAAAAAAAAAGTAAAGCTCTAAAAAAAAAATCTTAGTCATTTCAAGTAGGATCGATATCACATATTAATGCTAAATGTTAGCTGGCAAAACTTTGCTCCAGTATAACAAAGTCTCCATTGTTCTTGCCAGTATTTTTGATATGACACTTCTAAAACTTTTATTCTTTTAAAAGAAATGGTTCTGCAATATTCTCTACAAATACTGTAGTACAAGCCCAAACAGTATTAGGTTCATTTTCTAAAAATACGAATGGCTCTGAATTGTGCCACCAACATTAGGCTGAAGGAGCCAAAAACTCTAGCACACCAATTGCCATGCTGGGTAACTGCTACTTGGCATATGGAATTTCTGTTGTTTTGCTGATAACAATCTTGCACTGCTCCATACCAGATAGCATTTTTCTTTCAGGCTAATATACTCATCTTAGCAGTCAAAGCTCAAAAACGATGAACGAGTTTCTTGCATATAGCCTTAGAAATAAATTATGTACTGAAGAGGCACTTGGAGCAATGAACTCTAATCATCGTATGTTACTTATATACTCCCAAGCTCAGAATCGGTAAGTGATAAACTTCAGAGCAATTCTACTCTAAGACTTCATTTTATCCCTTAAGAAATTATAACAACACATTTACCCGTGACACACCCTTATAAGAAAAAGGGTGTTAGTCATGTACACTTAGGTTTGACTTAACCCAAACCATTGCAAATACAAGTAAAGATGTGCCATCAGTTTAAGTGTAGTGACATTAGCTACAGTGGTCTGGGTTGTGGCAGCCCAAGTCTATTGATATGTTTATCAGAAAGGTTGGGAGAAAACCTCAATTGCTTCAGTTTATGATGGAGATTCTGGCCACAAAGTGGAGGCTGCGTTTTGGAAACATGCACGATAACTGACTATTAACAGGAGTATTATCATCACAGAGTGACACCTGAACACTTGTTGGTTGGGGGGACAGGGAAAGGAGAATGTTCCCATGCATACAATTTATTCGTAACACTTTTGTACTTCAAGTAGAACTATTTTTCTTGCAATACAAATATATTTCACCCTTCTTGAAGATTATCCATCCTGCCGGTGCTACATATACCTTCCTGTTAACTGCCCATTATTTGTCTCACAATGAATCCTATGACAAAAAATGAAATCTGGACTAATCAACACATCAGAAAAAGCTATCTTCCCACAGAAACTTCCCTTTTTGTAAACACGATAAAAATATCAGTCTTTAGTATGAAATATTTTCTCTCTGAAACATCAGGGTAGTCTTGTCCTCCTACACATTTATAAACTTGCCAGAAATATCTTTCCAATTAACTACAAGTAATGTGAATCTTCTATAAAAATATACTAGTGCTGCTTTCACTGACCATTCCACTCAGAGATGAATCTAATTTTGTTTCTAATAAAAAAGCAAACTACTCTAAACACATGAAAGTGAAATACATTATAGAATCAAACCCATGACTTAGCTACATTACTTCAAAGTGTTATATAAATGCTGCAACATGAGCCGAAGCTTGCCAAAGGCAATGGTTCATCCAGTGATCAAGTTAATTTAAAAAAAAAAAAGTGTTAACATTGAAAGTAAAATGTTCCATTTTCTCTGCATTTTTAAATTTATGAAATAAATAAATTATATAGCCTGTCTCATAAATTAAGTAGTGAGTTAACACAATTTTGCCACCCAGAATACCGCTTGGCTGATATGGCCATAAAGAAGACTGATGTGATCATAAGCGCACCCTGAGATTGTCCCACTGCAAACTGCAGACAGACCAAAAGTCAGTCTTGGTCTCAGCTACCCCAGCTTATTTTCTGAGGGATTACAGTGCAGGTTTAGTGCTAACCATTTTCTCCCATTCTCTCAGAGAACTATAATGAAAACATCATCTTTCTAACCTATGTTTATCTCCATTGCCTGTCTACAACCCATCACTGCCTACTGACTTAGCTAATCTACATGCTGCTCACAGCTTACCAAGGCTCAAAGACCCAAAAAGTCACTTCTCCAGAGCTTCCTACGCTCTTTCCTCTGCCACACCACACATCCAAGATAAAACTGGTGCCTTGCCTTATACCACGTTGGCTATGCATACTCTCTTGGGAAGAGGGAGGAAGGACAAAGACGCTCCAGCCCTCCTAAGAAGCCTCCATGCTCCATCCAGACACCATTTAAGGGTGCAAAGACTCACGCTGTCCCAGGTAAGTGACTGAGGCACAAAATTGCAGCAGAGAAAAACTCTCACTCCCCAGCTACTAAAGCTTAGCTCTTGCTTTGTAACACAAGTCACTAAAGCTACCTCAAAAAATCAGGAGACAGGCCTGCATCTAGGCCTGCATCTTCCTCCCACGACTGCAGTTGCAGGACTAGCTAAACAAACAAACAAAAAAACCCCAAACCCCAAAACAGCATTGTATTGGAGCACAGGTCTCAGTCAACAAAAAGCATGCTGCCATTTGTCCAACACAGGAGGCAACTCTCACTTTCGAGTCACACCTCTTCTCATAGTTTAGGGTGATGAGTTTTGACAAGTTTTTCCACAAGCAGAAGTTTCAAGGTTGGTTTACCCAGGAAAAATGAGAAGTTGAATGTGGTGGAGATCTCCTCTTTCATGAATTACTGCTCTCTCCCACAAATGACACAGCTACAGCTTTCTCGGGCACAGTCAATAGAAAAAGTTTCCTCTGAAGGATGAAACAAACCTTTTCATCTGTTTTTCTCTGCACCAAGTACTTTAGAGAGTTTTCTATTCCACCCTAAGTCCTCCAATACCCTAAGATTTGTATAACTCTCTTTTATTACAATCTTTCTCTTTTTTAACAGTTGCTTTTGGTTTCCTTTCTACCGTCACTCTTCTCAAACTAAGTACAGTGGATATTGTGTTGATTCATAACTTTGTCATGGTGGAAACATCGGGTTATTCTACTGGATGCTGAGGTCTGTGCAGAGGCATCCCAGGCTACCTGCAATACCATCTTTTTCCTGAACAAAGGAGATGCAAGAGTCTGGTCAACAAAGCAGGATCAACAAGAATGAGCTTCAGGGTAAACGGAGA